AGGACCAAAATCTAAAACACCGAGTGCTAAATGACGCAGAGAATGCAAATTTGATGTCATATGGTCTAAGCCATACAAAACTTGGAATTTGCTCACATATTCTTTAAGTGCTCTGTCTGCAAGATCAACCATATCTTTTGAAACGCTTTTTTGACTTAACAAATAAATGGCTAATACAAGAAGTTTATGGTGCGATAAGTATGGTTCTGGCAGAATGTCGTTCAAAATCGGTAAAGAATAATATAGAAGCCATATTTTTAATTCTGAAGCTTTCCAATACTTATGATCTGAAATGTTTCTTGACAGTCTCTTTACAAACGATGGAGGAGTTAAAGATGTTATTCTTTTATCAATAACTTTTATAAACTTTGACAAAGACCAAGATTTTCCATGAAATTTAGAGTGAAACCACAAGAATAAAAGTCGTTTTACAACTCCTAGGAATACACAGTGCATTGCGTCAAGAGTCATCGTTCGAATAAAATCATGAGTTATTTTCGATAATACAGAGGGTCCTTTTACTCCAAATACGGGTTTTTTTTCTTATGAGCCTTTGCAGCGAACTTTTCTGTTTCTGATGACGTCCGTAAGTTCAGTTCATCTTGGTGTGGATATACACGAAGATTTTTTCGCAGTTTTTTGGTTTGGATTTTGCATTTCGGGCAACCGAATTTTGAATTGAATTGCTTCGTATTTAGAAATAAAGATCGCGCAGGTGAATCACAGGTTCCACATATTACAATACCCCTTACTTTCACTTTATTCGTCTTTCCATGAATTGTAAAATTTACACCATTATACAATTTTTGTAGTGACTCTTGAAGAAATTGTAAAAACAGATTAGGAGAAGGTTTTGAAGGACCGAACCATAATCCGGCAAGAATCATATTTTCCTTTTTAATTCGTTCTGCGAATGGTAGCTCATTGATGGTGAAATAAAATGGCCATATGCTAATTTTAGATGACTTGAATAACGGCACACCGTCTGTATTCCACATTAGCGAAATATTGTTAACACTAGACAGAATGTTGCCATTTTTGCTAAGTTTTTTATATATTTTACCGTCATAAATATCTTCCAAGTTATCTTCGTTTTGTTTTTTCCGTGTAAACCTATGACTTAAACTTGCAAAAAAACCGGGTCGTTTGAAAAAGACTTGTAATTGCGTTAAAAGAGGTATTTCGATTAAATAACTTATTCCTTTAAATTTTTTGCATTTAGTACACTTGGATGAACGCGATGGTAGTTTTTTTAAACATTTCGAACAGTAATAATGTCTAACAAGTGGTACTCCAATATTTCTAAAAAATTTTTTAAAAAAATAAAGGGTTTTTTTGCATAAATTTGGTTGTATACAGTGCATTGCAATCACTTCTAGTATGCTTGCTAAACAGGATCCTGTTAATTGATATCTTATCAGAAGAGACAAAATTACGATCATACTTTGCGCAACAGTTAACGGTGCTCCTGGATATAAAAATTTATCGTTTTCATCTTCATCTTCATTTTCGCTGCTGCTGCTGCTGTCATCTTCATTCGAACTACTATTCGTTTCTTCTTCTGATTCGTCACTTTTGACATAATCTCGGTGTTTATTGCAATCACTATTATCATCGCTAGAATCTTCCTTATTTTCTTTATTTGCATGTGTACTTGTGTCTGAGCTGTCAGAGCTACTCTCATCAGTGGATTCGTCACTGGTTCTCGAATTCTCTCTGCTAGAATTCCTCGATTCATGATTTTCAAATTCTTGATCTGCATAAAAATTATTCTAATTATACTTATAAGAATTTTTTTAATTTATAAATTTTTTTAAATAATTTTTTCTGGCTTGCATGACATAGTGAAATTAAAATTGCCAATTGAATTATTGTCTTGTAATAAAAATTACGAAACATAAAAATCTGTGAACAAGAACTATTATAAATAATTTGTTCTGAAAAAGAATTAATAAAATCACGATAATAATTTCTTATAGAAAAAATAAATTATAGTAGACTTTATTCGCAAATTATAAAATTCTGTAATTTTTATTTGAGGACAATTTTATTTCAAAAAGTTTTTATAATTACAAATTTTTACAGAAAAATAAATTTCTTTATTTATTAAATTTATAATTTAATGTAACTATTACAATTTATTTTTTTAAAGAAATTTATAGTGAGAAAAATTATATTTCTCTATACAAAATTATTTTTATAAAAACAAATTATAATTACAATAGTAAATTTCATTAAAAAATTTTTTCAGTATTTTTTTAATTTTAACTTTAAAAAAATAATTTAAACATGTTGTTTTATGTAATTAGTTGTAGGTTCAATTGTAATTTCAATTTGTCATAAATATAAGCAAAGACAAAAATTTTAAGTTTGAAAATGGCTTCATAAAAATTACACATACAAAAATAATTTTTCGTCAATTTTTTATCCGTTTATTTATTTATTTATTATTATTTATGTATTCATAATAAAAAATCCCATTATATTTATCAAATTTGTAATGAAATCAATAACATATGCTCTATATAGTATATAGAAAAGAATATTTTTGAAGTTGAGTGACGTTTTTTACCTGATAAGTCATTACTTGGTGCATTTTCGAAAATGGGATCTTCAGTCTCATCAATATTTTGCTGCAATTTTTTCTTCTTTTTGTAGTCATGAAGAAGGCGATATCGGCTAGGCCGGGAATATTCACTAAATGTACGTATTTTTGGCATTTTTATATTCCAAAAAACTGTTTAATGTTTTGTTGACAAAACAAATAATAATCGACACATCTTTCTTGTTCGCTTTTTTTTCTGCTGGAGCTAAAATCGATGCATCATACAGGGCGAACGTGACGTACAACTAGCGCGCTTATCATTTGTTTTAAAAAAGTGTAATGTCATGCAAACCTACAAAATTTTGTCTCGTTTTGTGGAAAAATACTAAATGTAAAACATACTCAATTCTGCCAGAAAATCGGATAAGGACAATTAAAAAAGGAATTTTTGAAGCAAAGTGGAGAAACAAATATTACCCTGCAAGAATCTTACAAAAAAGTGGTAAGTTAAATGCAAACGTCATTGAATTTCTGAATGCATAATTTTTATATTAACGAATTTTTTTAACTTGAATTTTCCAATTTTTTTAGTTTTTTAGTTTTTTATTTTTTTAATAATTTTTCACTACTTAAATTTTTTAATTTACATTTGTTAATTTTTATTGTTAATTTTCGAATTAAATTTGAATTTTTAATGAAAATTCGATTCTTATTTCATAACCTAATTTTTTTTATCACATTTTGTCACAGCCTTCTTTTACCTTTATATACATGTATAAATACTTTCAATAATTTAAACTTTTTGATTATGCAATTATTGCAGACAATAAATATAAATAATAAATAGTTGGAAATTTCCTTGTAAAAAAAATTTTTTTTAAAATGTTTTTTAAAAAATGTTTTCAAATTTTTTTAAAAAATTTTTTTTAAATTTAAATTTACAATTAAATAAATAAATAAATAAATAAATTTTTTTCAAAAATTTTTTTAAAATTTTCCATAACAAAATTTTTAATATTAAAAAAAGGTTTATAAATCAAAAACTTCATTTATAAATAATAAAAAAATATAAATATTAAATGTAAATAAAATATAAAACAAAAAAAACAAATTTTTAAATATAAAAAATGCATTATAATAAATAATTAATACAAATTTTATATTTTTATATAAATATTAAAACAAAATTTTTTTCTCTTTTTTTTAACAAGTGTATCACATAAAATTTATAAAATACATATTTTGAAAAAAAAGAAATTACATGTAATTTAAAAACTATCTAATTTAATTTAATTTCCACTTAATTTAATTTTCTAAATAAATAAATAAAATTTTTAGAAGACAAAAAGTGGCTTGAATCGTTGACAGTGGCTACAGATGGAACTCTAAGCATTGAAGTTAGCTCGATTAAAAACAATGCTGCAAGAATGGAAGAGAGAAAAAAAGTAGTCGACATGGAAAAAGAAAATGATAAGAATAAAAGGTCTGTTGAAGAGGATTTGGAAAGGGAGTTAATTCAACAATCATCGATTTTTGAAAATTATGGCGAATCATCCATGTGTAATATGGACACTCGTTTACTGTCTCCCTCTAATAATTTGGACGAATCTGACGAGGATTCCAGTACTGAACCTCCTAATTTTGAAATCAATGCTGAAGATTTTGGTTCACAACAAAACCTCAAGAAAGGTTCACCAACAAAACCAGACAACGGCCCGGATTCAAATGCTCCAAGTGGTTCGCATTTCAATGACAGTTTTGCTTCTCAACAGGATGACGAAGAAGGTTTAATATCAAAATAATATAATTTTTAATTTACCTATAACTTATTTTATTTTTAACAATTTTCCAAATCTTTCAGTCACTATTGAAAATATACGTTTTTTGGAGGGGATTTTGAGATGGTCAAAAGATACATTCAAAGAACAAACTGGTCAAGACTATGACAGTATCACTGGACAGCCCTCAAGTTCTCAGGTTTATATGTCTTATCATTTTTATTTTCATATTTATAAAATAATTTATTTGTCATGTACAAAATAAACATATAATTATATTTTTTTTATTAGGTACCGGTTATGGAAGAAAACCCAAGAAATAAAGTCCTTGGAACGTATCGAATTAAAGGACTTGGAAAGGTATACATAATATTTGTAATTATTAAAACTTTTTAAACCTTTTAGAGTATCATCTGAGTGTCTAAAAATTTCCTTGGGATTTCAATATTAATATTTACATCATTTAGGAAAAATTTTAAATAAAAATTTTTTTTTTTTAATTCAAAAATTACATTTGACATTTTCCTCTGGACATGAAAAAAAATAATAATAAAACAGCTAATAAATTATACATATTTTATAGGTTGAAATTGCTCCTGACACAAATATTTGGATGGACAAAGTGGAACTCGAATTTATTAAAACAGAATTTCGAAAAAATCCAAAAGAAATGGCATGAAAACTGATGAAAAATTTGCTGGGTGAAAATAACCTAATTAACATGTCGCCAACTGGAAGAGGAGATCATACGGCCATACCTAAACAAGTCCTAGATAATGTTGAATGTGAGTTTTACGAAAGTAGAAAAAAATAGTCTGTCTTACAATAAACATTCAACTCTCTAAAACTGAATCAGTGAAAATCTACTGGTTCTCAGTGACCCTCTTCTCAAGATATGAATCAGTGAAATTTCATTGGGAATCAGTGAAAAATGACTGAAGTGTCAGTCATTTTCTACTGATTCGACAGTTAAAAAATGACTGAAATTTCAGTAACCATTATTGAAAATTCCAGTCATTTTTTAACTGGCCAATCAGTTGAAAATGACTGAAACTTCAGTCATTTTTCACTGATTTCCAATGAAATTTCACTGATTCATATCTTGAGAAGAGGGTCACTGGGAATCAGTCATTTTTCACTGATTTACCAATGAAATTTCACTGATTCAGTTTTAGAGAGAACGTAGATCATAGAATGTCACATGCATTCACATATTTTAATATTTTTAAATTTTGTTATTAATTTTGATTTTTTCAAAAATTCAATTTCAAAATTTAATTACTTTTAATTTATCTATTCCAAAGTTTAAACATTAGTGATTCAATTTTTCTAAATTTTAATTTTATAATTTATGGAAAAATCGAAAAAATCACTTACATTTAAATTTTCTTCTTCAGTTCACTTTCTAGTCTCCTATTTTCGAAAAATATTTCACCTTTTCCCACTTTTTTTTACAAAATGCATTGTAATTCCTGATTAATTTCTATTGAAAACCAGTTAAACTGTGACACATCTTCTGATTTTGCCCTAATTTTGATAGTTATTTTCGTATTTGTAAATTTTTAAAATTAAAATTGAAGAAAGACAGAAAATAAAAAGGGCTATCAAGAGCCAAACAAATCTAAACAGCCTATTGCAGTTTAATGATTTCTAATTGTCTACTTAATTTCAAAATATCTATAAAAATTCTTTATTTTTCAGCATTTGTGAAGGAAAACGTTAAAAAAGGTTTCAAAATTAAACATCAAGAATATATTAGAACGTTAACTTTAATGTGCAATACGCTTCGCAATCAACTCAAGGCGAAAAACAAAACTGGAAATGATTCAAACAAAGGAAAACAAACCAAAAAGAAGAGAGGTGCAAAAAACAATGAAAAAGTGGACAAGGAAAAACAGAAAAATGGAAAACGCAAGAAAGCCTCGAATGAAAAAGACGAAAATTCAAGTGCTACTAAAGACGAAAATCAAGAAGAAATTGAAAATACAAGAAAGAAACGAAAACAAGATTTGACTGTGATTGATGAGAATCGGAACGAAGAAATTAAGAAAAAGAAGAAAAAGAAGAAGAAACATGAGCATGAACAAGAAAAAGGTGACGAAAATCTGAAATTGTCAGAAGAAACAAGAAATGAAAACGACAATGTGAACTTTAGTAAAGACAGTGATGAGATCTTAAAACTAAAAGAGGGAATTAACAAAGATCAAAGTAAAGAAGGTAAGAAAAAAAGGAAAAAAAAGAGGAAACAAGGTAACGAAGAGAAAGAAGACGAAGATAGTGCAAAATGGACAGAAGAAAGTATTAGCGGAAATGAAAAAGAGAATTTGAATCCCAGTGAGGAAACTGACGAAATTTTGGAAGTAAAAGATGGAATGGGTGAAGATCGAGATGAGGAAAGTAAGAAGACAAACAAGAAAAAGAAGAAACAAGTCAATGAAGAGGAAGAATGAGAAAAAACTGAGAAATTTTCAATGAAGCAGCAGTAGAAATGAAGAAAAGGATGAAGTTTCGAATGAAGAGAATAAAGAAAATAAAGAAACAAAGCTACGAAGAGAAAAAAATTGAAAAAAATATCGAATGAGAATGGAATGAATAAAGACGACAAAATGAGAGATAAATAATTAATTTTTTTAATAATTCGTTAATTAATTTAAAATTTAGAAAAAAAATAATTTTCAATATAGTGAAACCTGTGTAAGTGGGACATGTGTAAACCGTCCCAATTAAAGAGGTTTTATTGTATCTACATTTTTACACTTACACTAAAAAAATTTATTTTTAAAGAACGATGTTAATTTTTAATACAAATTTCATTTTGTTCCGTTTTTAAATTACGCTTACTTAATTTGAAATAAAAATGTTCAAGAAAAATTTTATATTTTTGATTGGCTTTAAATACTTTTAATATACTTTTGCTATATATACCTATAATATGCTATATTTAAATAGTACTTCCAAATTACTATTGATATACTTCAAATATACATTATATATACTTGAGATTGATTATGGAAAAGTTTCATATATACAATTAGTAGACTTTATAGATACATTAAAGCATTTAAAAAACGATTCATATATTTTTGCTATACTTTAAATATATTTTGCAAATATTTAGACAGATAGATACTTCCAATTTAATAACAAAATACTCCAAAAATACGTAAAATATACTTTAATAATACTTTTTTTCAAATGTATTTTCAGCATACCTTTTCCATACTTATACTTGCAGTATGGGATGTACTATACTTTTAATACATATATTATAGGCTAGAGGAGTGACAGATGATTAGATGATAGATCTCTCCGATACTAAAATATTTTTACACGGGTATAGCAAATAAACAAAAAAATTTATTTATGGTATACTTCAAATATACTTCAAATATACTTTAGGAATACTTTAAATATACTTCAGAAATACTACAAACATACTTCAAATTTACTTAAATATACTTCAAATTTATTTCAGATATACTTCAAACATACTTCAAATGTATTTCAGATATACTTCAAATGTATTTCAGATATACTTCAAATATACTTTGTATATATACTTCAGCTATACCCCAGCTATTTACTTCAATGATATACTTCAGCTATACTTCAAATTCACTCAAAATATACTTTGTATATACTTCAGCCATACCCCAGCTATTTACTTCAATTATATACTTCAGCTATACTTCAAACATACTTTAACTGAAATTCAGATATACTTCAAATTTACTTCAACTGTACTTCGGATATACTTTAAATATACTTTGTAGCTACTTTAGCCATACTCCAGCTATTTACCCTAATTATATACTTTAGCTATGCTTCAAATATACTTCAAATATACTTTAAATATACTTTGTATATACTTTAAATGTACTTCAAATATACTTCAAATATACTTTGTATATACTTTAGCTATACTCCATCCATTTACTTGAATTATATACTTCAGCTATACTTCAGATATATTTGATATATACTTTAGATTTACTTTAAATATACTTAAGATATATTTTAGATATATTTTAGATATACTTCAGATATACTTCAGATAAACTTATCTACATATACTTTGAGTATGGGATAGTCTCATTACATATACTTTACATATACTATATGATAGATCACTTATAGATTTTTTGCCATACGTTTTACTAGATCTCTCTAATACTAAATTATTTTTACACGGGAATGAAAACTAATATCAATTTTGTAATTTGAAACACAAAAAAGTTACTTTAAATTAAGTCACCTAAATCCAATAAATAATTTCAAGAAAATTGGTTAATTTCTTACTTTTTAATAGAAGCTCATAGTTTTCATTACTTTTATACTTTTCATGAACAACGCTGTGAAAAAGTATAGTTTTTTGAAATGAGCTACGTTTTGAATTTTCCTCTTTGACGTCATTGTATTCTTTATTTCTATATAATTAATATAACTAATATAATTAAAATATTTAGACTTAGAAGTTTTAAAACCTTAAAATGGTATCACTTGTTATCTAATCCTATACTGATGATATACCAAACATGATAAAACAGAAATGTCAAAATAAAATTTTTTGAAGGAATTTGAAATTTTATAATATTAATGTAATAATAGTAGGGTAAAAATTTTATTCTTATTTTTTAACATTATATTTTTAATCTAGTATTCTATTAGTACAAAGTTATTTCCCTTAATTCTTTATCTTAACGGAACTAACATCCCAATGTTATATACACAGGAAATCCCAAAGATATTCAGAGAGTGTACCAAAAATATCCACAAACTGTCTTAGAGATATCCATAAAATATCCACAAAATGTCCCAGGGATAACTATAAGACATCCACAAAATGTCCTAGAGATATCCATAAGATGTCCACAGAATGTCCCAGGAATATCCATAAGATATCCACAAAATGTCCCAGAGATATCCATAAGATATCCACAAAACATCTCAGAGATATCCACAAGATATCCCAAAGATATCTTAAAAACATCTTTTTGGATATTCAATGGACATCTTATGGATATCCCTAGATATCCAAGAGATATCCATAAGATATCCAAACCGCCGCTGTTTCAGATATCCCGAAATTATCCCTCCGATATCTGTAGGGCATCCATGGGATATCCACTGGATATAATTCGGATATCCAGCGATATCTTATGCTGTGAGGGAATGACTTCTTTTTCTCACATTTAATAGATGAAATTTGCAAATTTAGGTTATTTGAAAGGCGAACTTGAAAATCATATTTTATATATTATTTCACATATTTAAATAATTATATCAATTGATAATGATAAATTTATTCATTCTTAGTAAATTACAACAATTTTTTTTTATTTTTATGGTAAATTCTGTTTTTTTTGCATATTTTCTAATGGCTAAAAAATTGACAGTTTTCAGCACCTCATAAACTTCAAATTCATATTTTGCAATAAATAATTAAAATTTTAATAAAATTCTTTTCATTTCGTGATGTTGATAACTTCAAAATCATTCCTGCAAAGTATTATAATTTTTAAAAATTAGTCAGCGACGACTTCATTCGAAATATAATGGATTGACCCTAATATTTTTTAAAAATATGTAAACATATGTATAATTGTAAATAATAACTATCTAAGTTATTAATTAATTGGATACAATTATTTATTTATTATTTTTGATGAGTTATGTTAATTTTAATAAGATACTTTTCTTTCAATCCTCAAGTACAACATATATTACCGACCTTTTGTCCGTTTTATGGCAGGTTTTTTTATAATTATGATTTTCTTAATTTTCACAATACATAAAAATAATAAAACAATCAATTTAAAGACCTCTTTGAGAATATATACTTATGCTAAGTCATTCATTTATCGAAAACTTCCTACATTACCGACCATTTTTAAGTCTATAAGCAACATATCTATAACTAGAGGAGCTGCTGTTATCTTCCCAAAAAGTAAAAAACAAGAAAAAAATTTTTTTTAACAAAATAATTAAAACTAACCAGAAAAGGATACTACTTTACATCCTTTTTCATGCCCTAAAATATCTTTTCAAAACATTTTACCGTTCAAGAGATATCTTACGAAAATGAAAGTACTTCAGTTACCGTCCGATGTCCGCCATAGTTTTGTCACATTGTGTTCAATCGTAATTATTAATAAAAAATGTTTTATTCAAAATATACTATATAGACCAGAGAAGGGTAGATAATTATTCCCTTTTTCATGTCCTAAAATATTTTTGCAAAATTTCTTTTTTTTTAAAAGATATCTCACTTTTAAAAAATTAGTCAAAAAAAAAAAAAAAATTTTTATTTTAAATACATAATACAAACCAGAAAAAGATAGATAAACCTCCCCTTTTTCATTTCCTAAAATATTATTCGAAAATTCTTATCCTTTAAAGAGATATCCCACTAAAAAAATTATTGATTTTTTTTCAAAAAATAACGTGACCTCTGAATAACATGACCTTATAAAGTTGGACGAAAGTGGATAATTGCAATATTTATTTGATTTCTTAAAGTTTCTTTTAAGATTTTTAATCAATTTTATTATGTGTATGATAAAATGTTTGTGACGTATTAAGAAAATGGTTGCTAACAATTATTATTATACAATGAAAGAAATACTCTCAAAAGTACTAAAATAAATAATATACTTTACGAAACTATCATTATACAGAACCTAAAATTTTTTAATACTTATATGAAAAAGATAATTCTAGATAAATTTCCAATACAAGTTTAAGAAAATTATCATACTGTTTAAAAAACTTTGTTCGAAGATTTTCGGTTAGGTAGGTAATTATTAAGTATAAATAACCATTAGCAATTATAATGTATGTAAGTGGTGAAGAAAATCAAATTGTGGGTGAAATATCAAGATATATGGTGCTTCAATAAATTAAAATTCCAAATTATTTTTTTTTTTGATAAAGTTCCGGTTACCCCAAACCTCCAATCTTTCTAAAAATGTGTTTATCCACATATTTTGGTGCGCTGATTATGAATTATTATAGTTATTTTGCGATTAACTCGTAAGAAACGCAAAGATTCAAAAAAAAATTCCAGACAAAAGAACACACATTTTATTTTCTATACATTTTTCACCTAAATTGATTAGTTTTTGAGAAAAGTTCAAAAAACTTCGAATATTATTGACAAAGAAAGTTACGCGGCCTACGGCCGCGTTGCGTTTATGCATTGCTTACATGCATTTTAAAGAAACCTTGGCGAGAGGGGTCGAATATTGGCGAAAGTGGTCTGCGACAAAAGTAGTTACGGCCTATGGCCGCGTTGTAATTTTCGTCTTGTATAGCTTTGCTTGCTTGCATTTTAAAGAAACCTTGGCGAGAGAGGTCAGATATGTTTATATCTTTGCTCGCTTGCAATTTAAAGAAATCTTGGCGAGAGGGGTCGGATACGGCCGAAAGTATTCTCCCCACACAACATCAAAAATTCCCTGAAACTTGACAGAGCCTCACACGGCGAGGTTAGGAAACTTCAGTGGCAAGGTTCATACAAGTTTGTGTCGATGTTTAAATGTCCACATGAAAAGAATATTTACACGAAACTTTGAGGAAATTTTACACTGTAAATATTCACGTGCAATGGTCAGTTAATAATGTGTCAATATTCACCTATACATATTATATTAGTAAATGAAATTTTTATAACTAGGCGAAAATGTATTTTCAATATTGACACAACATTGACTGAACATTGCACGTGAATATTTATGTGTAATATTTCCTCAAAGTTTCGTGTGAATATTCTTTTCAAGTGGACATTTAAACATCGACACAAACTTGTATGAACCTTGCCACTGAAGTTTCCTAACCTCGCCGTGTGAGGCTCTGTCAAGTTTCAGGGAATTTTGGGTGCTGTGT